AACTCACTTTTTTCAGACAGAAGGAGTTCAAGCGGGAGAAAAGATGAGAGACAATGACTAGGAGAGCGAGAGAGTGCGGGCAACTTAGGGAAACATGACATATGAGAGAATGACGATGATACGAGATTGAAGGGGCCGAGAGAGAGGAAGATTGGGCACATAAGGCCGAAAGGGAGAAGGTGGACAGAGGAAACTGAGAGGGAGAGAAGAAGAAGGTTATACTTGAAGCCCTTTTTCGGGTCATAAATACAAGCCATGACCAAGATCAGTGCATGCAAGGTAAATTTTTGCCCTTCCCTTTCACCATCTCCTCTCATCTTCTATGCCTGTTAGTACCTGCATGTATGGCATCTCAAAAAGATTTGAGGGATTTTAAACACCAACAGTGATGATCTTCGGCTAAGATTAAGGTAAGAATTTGAGAATATTTCCATGCAAAGATTCTATCATGTTTTGGAGCAAATTATTTACCAATTTTCTATGTTTCTTAAGATATTCATTAGGCTTTTGCATGGCAATTTTAGTTTAAAATTTAATTTCCATTTAAGATTATTTTGCTTTAAATTGCTTGCTTTGATAATTGGTGCATGATGATTTGAAATTATTGAAGGTCTGGATAGATGAATGTAACACTGGAAAATAAATAATTATAACAAAAATAATAAATAAAATAAAATAAGAGTAAATACGTGTATACATTGAGTAGCTAAATATATACATATATATATATGTATATGCATATAAATTAATACTAAAAAGAAAACTTAGAAAGAAAAGGGTAAATGAGAGTATTTAATCAAAAACTATGATTTTAATGTAAGTTTGTGAATATGGAACCAATTTATGGAATATTATATAAAGAAAAAAATGATTAAAAAAAAAAGGATTGTGGGTAAAATTGAGATACGAGTTCGAATAAAGAGGATTAGTATATTAAAAAATAGAAAATTTATTTACAGGCAAGAATGTTTTGAAAGCTATTTAAGAGAGAGTTTTAAAAAATAATAATAATGTAATAAAATAAAATAATTAAATATGCATGAATAACCCCTAGTAATAGAAGTAATTAAACAAATATTAATGACAATTGTGCTTGGAGCGAGATCTTAATAATCGAAAAATGTTGCTTTAAAAAATGAAAATTTAGTAAGAATAAATCTTTCAATAAAAATTTAAAAAGACATAGGGAGAAATAGATGCAAAGAGAAGTTCAAAGAAAATTGAGTAGATAGATAACATTTAACTAATTTTGAAAATACTAATAATAATTGATCATATGATCACACATTAAGGGTCAAATAAGATATTTGAACAAATAAAGCAAATAAGCTAATAATGAATAAAAAGACTTGTTCTAATTGTTATATAAATTACTCGATGATATTAATGGAAATAAGAATAGGGACTTTGTATTAAGAATAAACAAGAGAAATATTAAATGAAAAATTATAAAGGAATACATATGAGAAAGCACATAAACCCATGAAAACTAATAAAAAAAATGGAACAATGAGTATACACATTAAGGATTAAATGAGAAGTGAAATGAGAGTTTAAGATTTAAATAGAATGAGAAATAACCCAAATGGATATAGACTAATGTTAAAAAGTTTTGATTAGAAAATCATTAGACAAGAATAAGAAGAACCCACATATACACAATTAGTATTAAAACTTAAAGCTATATAAATCTCCCTACTTAACTCACTATTAACTTATAATTGGAAGTAAGGTGATTGTGATAAAATAAAAAAGAAATGAATTAAAACATCACAAAAAAATCTTGGTAAGTTAACATTAATTTTTTATTCAACAAGAAGATTGAAGAATCTTACAAACTACAAAAGATAGTCTTTGGTTGAAATTGTTTTATTTCAATAGGATAAAAAAGAAAAATACATATAAGAGAATTTTATGTAGAGAATGCTATATTAATCCTGAAGGAGTTGGAAATAATCTTAATTCTTAAATCTAACTTAATCCTAAGGTTAAAATATAATATAATGTTAAAACCTAACTATAATAGATAAAAAGAATAATGAATCTTACATGGAAATCAATTCTCAATCATAATAGGAAAGAAATAATTAATTCATGTGAATGAGTTCTATGTAGAAACTAATTCTTAATCATAGTAAGAAAAGAATAATTAATCCACGTGGATGAGTCCTACCTGGAAACTAATTCCTAATGTGCATTTTGAGCTGTCTCACACTATGTTCATATCCTTATACATGTCCTCTATTATGTTGTGTCTTGATCTCTATCAACTTATTACTCAAATATATAAATCTCATGAGTATGCATAATAAACATAACAAATATTTTATTATGTATCAATCTTGATTGACCATCTCTATTATTAGAGAAATCAGATTATGCATGCCAATCCACAAATCAACCATCATAAATGCATTCAACTAGCTAGAGCCACCTATCTCTATCAACTCAACATCTTAAAGACTCATCAAGTGTCACACACTCTTCAAAAATGTATGAGAATACAGGAAAAAAGAACTATGATCACTTGTCCAAATGTTGTAGAACTACATATAGCCCTTTTTGGTTTGGTTCTTCAACACCATGATGCTCTATGTGTATCTTTGCTTTTGTCGAAACCTTCTATATTTACAACAATCATATATGTACATAAAAATATACACGATAGACTTTTCCAATCGATGGACTCAAGCTCTCAAATTAACCAATATTTTGTGTGCAATAACTCGACCTAATAATTTCTCATTTAGATTTACATTAGTTTTGCTATGACCCAAGCCATAATCTTCTAACCCATGGTTTACTTATCTATACTAGAGCTTTTGATCAACTGGTTCCTCCTTTGTTAGGGTAAATTTTTTTGTATGAATATATTTTATTTCTCAATTAATATATATATGTATATATAATTTTACCATTAAAATGTAATGAGATATAAGTCAAATATCAAATTTGAGATTCTATCAACACTAATGACAATTCAGATATTTAATTAATTTCATTAAAATATAAAAAAACAAAGGAAAGCAACATGAACAAAATATATTTTACTTCTCAGTCTATATATATATGTATATATAGTTTCACCATTAAAATATAATAAGATAAAAATCAAATATCAAATTTGAGATTCTATCAACACTAACAATAGTACAGATATTTAATTAATTTCATTAAAATATAGAAAACAGAGGAAAGCAACATGAACAAAATATATTTTACTTCTCACTCTATATATACATATGTATATATAATTTCACCATTAAAATATAATAAGATATAAATCAAATATCAAATTTGAGATTCTATCAACACTAACAATAGTACAGATATTTAATTAATTTCATTAAAATAAAATAAATAAAAAAACAAAGGAAAGCAACATAAACAAAATATATTTTACTTCTCACTCTATATATACATATGTATATATAATTTCACCATTAAAATATAATAAGATATAAATCAAATATCAAATTTGAGATTCTATCAACACTAACAATAGTACATATATTTAATTAATTTCATTAAAATAAAATAAATAAAAAAACAAAGGAAAGCAACATGAACAAAATATATTTTACTTCTCACTCTATATATACATATGTATATATAATTTCACCATTAAAATATAATAAGATATAAATCAAATATCAAATTTGAGATTCTATCAACATTAACAATAGTACATATATTTAATTAATTTTATTAAAATAAAATAAATAAAAAAACAAAGGAAAGCAACATGAACAAAATATATTTTACTTCTCACTCTATATATACATATGTATATATAATTTCACCATTAAACTATAATAAGATATAAATCAAATATCAAATTTGAGATTCTATCAACACTAACAATAGTACAGATATTTAATTAATTTCATTAAAATAAAATAAAATAAAAACCAAAGGAAAGCAACATGAACAAAATGGTGATAAGCTTTTTTATTGCAAATGTCATGAGATGCTTTAAGTTTTGGCTATATTCTAACAAGTGAGGACATGTTTAAAATAAATATAACAAATAAATTTGTTGAACTTATTTATAAACTGTTAATTTAATTTAATAAAAAATTATTTTTCTCTAAAATTTTATTTGAAATTAAATCAATACATGTCACCAGAGCTTCTAAATTCATAAAAAAAACATCTTTAAATCTATCTTATCACGTGTTAAAAAAAGCCCTACGCATGCTTAAATCTACCCCAATTTCCAGCTAAAGCTTAGTTGATGCTTGTCCGTTTATGACTTACATGGTTCCAGTTTCTACAGCTTTTTTTTTTTTCTTTTTACGTCCTAGAAAAAATAAATGGCAGCTTATTTTATAAATATCTTGTCTTAATAATTTGATTACCAACTTTAAAAAATGACGATCTTATCTTCTCCCTCTGAAAAAAATAATTAATTAAAAATGGTATAGACCAATTATTGAGGGGCTGGAGCCAGTACATGAAAAAGGAAAACAAACGACAAAACTGAGAACGAGATATATTTAGATACACACACACACACACACAAGTTGGTTCTTGTCCCTTGAGCGAGGAAGATAATCCTCTCCTCATTTTCTTGATCATAAGTGCCCGTCGGTCAGAAAACAAACTCAGCGCAAGGCATAGTTTAAATGTTTCTGTTCATAATCCCAGCATGGCTTCCCCTCTTGTTGCTGCTCTCCGTTCTGCTGGTAATGATGAAGAAAGTGATCGAGTCAAAGAAGCAGCATCCTCCAGGTCCTCCAGGTCTGCCCCTCATTGGTAATATGCACCAACTTGACGCACTTGTTCATCAATCTCTCTGGCAGATGTCAAAGAAATACGGCCCTGTAATCCGATTGAAGCTTGGAAGTGTATCTTTAGTCGTCGTCTCCTCAGCCGAAACTGCAAGACAGATTCTCAAAGTTCACGACATCGAGACTTGCAGCCGACCCAAATTGCTAGCCACAGGCATTTTTTCTTACAATTATCTCGACATAGGTTTTACTCCTTTTGGCGAATACTGGAAGGAGGTCCGCAGGATTAGCGTTCATGAGCTTTTCAGCAACAGTAGAGTCCAGTCATTTAGGTACATCAGAGAGGAAGAGGTTGCTTTACTCGTTCGATCAATCTCTGAATCTTCTGCTTCCAACTCACCTGTGGATTTAACCGAGAAGCTGTTTTTCCTGACGTCGGATGTGATCAGGAGGGTTGCATTCGGAGGCAATTTTGAGAAGAATAAATGCGAGAAGGGGGGGTTTCAAAGGGAGATCAACGAAACAATGACGATTATTGGATCCTTCGCTGCTTCTGATTTTTTTCCTTATGTTGGATGGATTGTTGCTAGGCTCACAGGTCTAAAAGGTAGGCTCCAGAAGAGTGTACAAGCACTGGATGCTTTTCTGCAAGAGACAATTGATAAGTATGAAGGACATAACGTAGAAGAAGGGAACGAGGATCTTATTGATGTGCTCTTAAAGATAGAGAAGCAGCACAAGGAACAGGGGTCTGCTACTCTCACCAGAACTCATATCAAAGCAATCCTCATGGTGGATATACCCTTTTTCTGATTCCAACTCCTTAATTTAAACACGTTATTAGCAATCTCTATTTATAGTGTGAAAATACATCAATATGTACACTCTGTCCTGCTGCTTGCATTAACATTTAATATACACGTGTCAGGATGTATATGTGGGTGCAATTGGTACTTCGCAAATCACCATGGTATGGGCGTTATCAGAGCTGATGAGGAACCCAAGAGTGCTGAAGAAAGTACAAGCTGAGATTAGAGATGTTATAGGAAACAAAGGAAAAGTCAACGAAGATGATGTTGAAAAACTTGAATACCTGACCATGGTGGTGAAAGAGACCTGGAGACTTCACCCTCCAGCTCCACTTCTGGCTCCAAGAGAGGTCATGTCCCAGTTTGAGGTCAACGGTTACAAGATATACCCAAAGACCAGAATCCATGTCAACGTATGGGCCATCGGACGAGATCCCAAGATTTGGAAGGAGCCAGAAGAGTTCTTGCCGGAGAGATTTGCGGGAAGCCCGATTGATTTCAAAGGACAGCACTTTGAGTTGTTGCCGTTCGGTGGAGGACGCAGAATTTGTCCGGGTAGCAACATGGCAAACACATTGTTGCAGCTTACACTTGCAAATCTTTTATATCGTTTTGACTGGATGTTACCAGAAAGGTTGAGCAAGGAAGATATCAACATGGACGAAGCTCCTGGTATCACTCTTCAAAAGAAGACCCATCTTGTGCTTGTTCCTGTTGCCCATGTCTGATCTTCTCAAAACACATCTGTTCTCAATGGTCTGCCCTGTAGAATTAATTTAAGAGCTTTTTCATTTGCTTAATTCCTAGGACCGAATCATTTTGGTTTTCTCGTTTCCGCAGTAAATGATAATTTGGTTTTATTGGAATTCAGATGTCATAATTGTGTCATTTACATGAAAATATTACTTTTACAGTACTGTTATATATGTTAAAAATTTTAGTTTTTCTTTTAACTTTAATATTTTTAGCGATTAAAAAAATAATTTGTTTAGCCTAGTGCTGACATATATATTTATGTCTAAAAGATTATATGTATATTTTTACTTATTAATTTCTAACTACATTGTAGATTCATGAACTAATATATCACTGTTATATGGTCACTTGTTTCCATGTTCTTGAATAGTCCCCAGAATAATTTCAAGATTGCAATTGTTTCTGATGCCTGTGTCTGATCTTTTCAAAACACATCTGTTTTCAAAGGTTCTGCAGTCTATAATTAATTTGTGAGCTTTTTCATTTATTTAATTCCTTGTATTGAAGTTTCATTTTGGTTTTCTCCTTTCCGCACTAAAAGATATGGTTCTATTGCCATTCAAATGTCATTTTACATGACAATATTTCTTTTAGATACTATTATAGATGTTACAAACTTTTAGTTTTCCTTTGTACTTTAATTTTTTTTAACCTAAAAAAAAAAAAAGGATTTGTTTAGCCTAAAACTTTTAGATACTATTATAAATGTTACAAACTTTTAGTTTTCCTTTGTACTTTATTAAATAGTCATTTGTTCTTGAATATCTCCATAATGATTTCAGGATTTTTCTTTCTTATTATGTCATTTATAAAATGATATAATTGTGAGAATATTTCAAAATATATTGTTAGGATTTTCTAGACGAAAAAAACATAAATTTTTATTAATTTCACTCATTTTTAAATTAATAACTTAAAGTATTTTTAAATAAACTTATTCGAATTCAAATTTTTTAAAAATAATTTACTATAATCTAAAAAATAACCATTAACTAAATCTCCTGAAAGATAAATTATTATTAATAACATGATATTTAAAAAATAAATATATTCTAAATCTAATTAAAAAAAATCTTATTTGGATTCAAATTAATAAATAAAATAAATTATAATTTCTATATTAATCTTCAACACTCTTCTTTAATATAAAAATTATAATTACTAAATTTATCTTGTTGGTGCATATCTCTCCAATATGTCTTGTTTAATTTTTATATTTTGAAATATTTTTCTTTAATTATTGATGCACTTTTTACTAACTTCCTATTATTAATACACTTCTCATCAATTTTTAATTATTTAATTCATTTCTCATTAAAATCTTTTAGAGCATTTCTCTCCAATTTCAAAAAAGAGATTATTTTTCTTGAGCAAAATTTACTTGCTCATTCTTCAACCAGCAACTTTTTTTGTATATGCAACATTCTATAAATTAAATTATTGTAGATATGTTTATATTTTCACAGTCCATAATTAACAATTTTTTCCTATAAAAATGGGAGATAAAGTAAAAAAAAAAATATTTGAGACCATATTTGATGTATAAAACTCCCTTATTTTCTCTCTATTTTTTTTCTCACATATCCATAATCAAGAAAGACTCTGACATCACTTATTGAGATTTTCTAGATAAAAAAAAAAACATAAATTTTTATTGATTTCAGTCGTTCTAAAATTAACAATTTAAAATGTTTTTAAATAGATTTACATCGAATTCAAATTTCTTAAAAATAATTTACCATAATTTAAAAAATAAATATTAACTAAATCTTTGAAAAGATAAATTCTCACTAATAACATAATATGATATTTAAAAAATAAAGATGTTATAAATCTAATTAAAGATAAATTTTATTTGAATTTAAACTAATAAATAAAATAAATTATAATTTTTATATTAATATTCAACATATATATCTTTGTCTAATATTGTGTGAATCAATTTAATATTTTATTTTTTGGAATAAAGAAAAAATATATAAAATATTCTAATTATATTATGCTAAATATACCATATATATCAGTATGTATGAAGTTTATTCTGAAAAAAAAAAAAAAAAAAAAGGTATATTTGAATTGTAAAAATGTATGGCAGTGTTTCTCGAAAAATTAATATAAAAGTACAGTTTAGTTAACATTCATTTGAGTTGATATGGTGGATTTACATTCAAAATATTTGAGCTTGCCAGCAATTTAACACGTCATTAACACACTGCCAGTGGATTAGTAGATCAAATGGTTAAAGGTAGTACAAACTTCAAAAATTGTCAACTTTCTTTAGGCAGGAAAAGAAACAATGCTAAAAGTAATGACCCAAGTTGTCCCGGGGTGCTTCATAAGAACTTTTCATTTACCAAAATTGATTTATTTATTGATGAATATTAAGTTTTGATTATCAAAATTCTCTGTCTCTTTCTTTTGTAGTTGTTTCTTTGCTTTCCATTATTTTATTTGATTATATTTAATTTGTTTGATATTATTATTAGACCATGTGAATTAATTTAGTGATTAACTTAATTTATACCATTGATTATATTTTTTACGGGGACCCAAAAATTTTTGATTCCTTAATTTTACCACTGGTCTAATGTAGGTCAGAGTCAAGGGTTAATAGGGCAACTGTTAGAACTATCAAGGATATTGAGCTGATGGGGGAAATTGGTTGATGGTTTGATTATATTCAGGTAAAAATAGAGCTTAATTTTACCTCTCCTTTGCTGCCACGGGTGAGGAGCTTTGTGTTCACTTCTAATTTGAACGTATCTATGAATTTTGATATACATATTGTCCATTTTTGACACTTTCATGTCCTGTCCGATTCTCAAAGCTAGTATTGTCCTTTCTCCCCAAGATAAATTTCTTAAGCCATTTGACCCATGGAACAAACAAAACCTAGACATGCACAGGCGAAAGGAGCAGTTTTACAGTACAAGAGCTCTTCCATGTAATTCCAAAACACTCAGGCTCAACTCAACCCTATAGCTTATTAAATATATTTTCAATACATTTCCCTACTGAAACTCCATAGGATACTCCCACCTCATCCTCTCACATTTCCTCCTTATCATCACTCTCCGTTTCTCCCTTATCTATCTTTATTACACATAACCTGTCCACTGTATCTTCTTTATAACTCAACTACTCTAGCCCTTTACCTGCACAACCTACACATTCACAAAGTCTCTCCACCTTTACTTTTCTCATCATAATTCCCACCTCCCTTTGTATCGCTCCACTCAAGCAAGTACTTCTACCATCAAGACAATATAGTGCATCCTCCGTAATAGCCGAGTCCGAAATTTAGTCCGGGATTAATTTTAAAAATTAAAATTAAAATGTAAAAATATAATTTTTAAATTTATAAATTTTTATTTAATGTAAAAATTAGAAAAAATAGGTGGATCATGAAATTAAAAATAATTTTGAGAAAAAATGGTGAAAATTTGGGTTCGAGAGTATTTTTGGAAAAAAAATCGAAAACT